ATCCACCCTGGACACACCCAGACACACCTGGACACACCTGGATCACACCTGGACACACTTGGGCACACCAGGACACACCTGGATCACACCTGGATCACACCTGGCCACGCCCACATGGCCTCTGACCCCATTTCGCGCTCTCCCATTGGTCCCTTTAACGCTGGCCCCGCCCCCGATTAAACCCCGCCCCCTCCAACCCCGCCAATCACCGCCCCTCATCACCATGGTAACCAAACCCCGCCCCTTTTCCCGCGCAAGCCCCGCCCCCTGAAGGAGGCCACGCCCACCCGCGCTCTGCAGGGAGGCGCCGATTTCGCGCTCCAGCTCCTCCAGCGCCCGCAGCCTCTCGTTGGCCACGCCGAACCCCGCCATGGCGCCCGCGCCGCTTCCGCTTCTTCTCCCGCCGCTTCCGCTTCTCCTCCCTCCGGTTCCGCTTCTCCTCCCGCCGCTTCCGCTCCCCTTCACCAATGGCAGCGCGGCATTCGCGTCACGTGACAGGAAGCGCCCTCCTGTGGGGACGCTCTAGACGCAACTCGGTGGTGGCGCCGCCTCCTCCTGCGGCGTCTCGGTGGTTTTGGGTCCTCCAAAGCTGTTTAGCGTCGCAAATGTTGCCGGAATCGCCTCAAAATCTCTGCGCGCTCCAAAAAAAAAGGTTTATTCGCCACAAATATCCCCACAGCCACCTCGAGTCTCCTCAGAATCACCTCCGCAGGAGGGATTTTATCGCGTTTTAAAGCAATAAAATGGCCTAGGAGGAATTTAATCGCGTTTATAGCGCGCCTCTGCAGGCCACGGCCCTCATTACCTGCTTTGGAACCGCTTTGATCCAGGCCGCGCCTCTCGTTGTCTTTTACAGCGCTGATTTCACCCGAACGACGCTTTTTATTTTAATTTTATAAAACATTTAATTTGACTTGCGGCCTTTTATAGAGATTTACTCAAGCCGCGCCCCCTCACTGCATATTTATACAGGGCTTTGTTCCAGGCCACGCCCCTTCATTGCCTTTTATGGAGCAGCGGGTCGCCTAAGCCACGCCCCCTCATTGCCTTTTATAGCTGTGCTTCCTTAGGCCACGCCTTTTATTTCCTTTTTTGGCGCTTTCCCCGAAGCTCCGCCCACTCCCCTCACGCAGACCCCGCCCCGTTTTTTCCCGCGCTGTGACGTCAGCGGTGCGCGCCGGAGAAGAAGCAGCGATGGCGGCGGTGGCGGCTCCGCGGGCCCCTCCGGCCGCGCCGCTGCTCGAGGCGCTCTCGGCGCTCTCGGCGCTGCCCCCGCACCGCCGCGCGATCCCGGGGATCGTCCGGGGCCTCCGCGACAGCGCCGGGACTCAGGTAAAGGCGGGGCCGGGGGAACGTTCCCTTCAGAAATGGCGGCTCCGCCTCAGGGAGCGCGAGTTCCCCCCCCCACCTCCACCATCCTCAGGGATCGGCGGGAAAAAACGGGGTTTCCCTCAGGGGTCGGGAGGGTAAAAGGGCGGGAACTCCCTCAGAGGTCGAGGTGCTTCCCGAAAATCGGGAATTCTCTCAGGAATCGGGATCTTTCCTGAAAATCGGGAATTCCCTCAGGAACCGGAATCTGTCCCGAAAATCGGGATCCTCTCAGGGATTGGGATCCTTCCCTAAAATCGGGATCTTTCCCGAAAATCGGGATCTGTCCTGAAAATCGGGCTCCTCTCAGGGATCTGGCTGCCAGAAAATCGGGAATTCCCTCAGGGATCGTGATCCTTCCCGAAAATCGAGAATTCCCTCAGGGATCAGGACCCCAAAACACGGGAATTCCCCCAAATCTGAGGCCCCGCCCCCAGCTCACACGTGACTTCCGGTCACGCCCACCTGACCTTTGACCCCCCTGTGACCCTTCAGGAGGGTTTGGTGACCCCTCAGTGACCCCTCAGTGACCCCTGAGAGACCTCTGACCCCTCAGTGTCCCCTCAGTGACCTCTGAGTGACCCCTGACCCCTCGGTGACCCCTGAGTGACCCTTCAGTGACCCCTCAGTGACCTTTGATCCCTGAGTGACCCCTCAGTGACCCCTGAGTGACCCTTCAGTGACCCCTCAGTGACCTTTGATCCCTGAGTGACCCCTGAGTGACCCCTCAGTGACCTTTGATCCCTGAGTGACCCCTCAGTGACCCCTCAGTGACCTTTGATCCCTGAGTGACCTCTCAGTGACCCCTGAGTGACCCTTCAGTGACCCCTCAGTGACCTTTGATCCCTGAGTGACCCCTCAGTGACCCCTCAGTGACCTTTGATCCCTCAGTGACCCCTCAGTGACCCCTCAGTGACCTTTGATCCCTGAGTGACCCCTCAGTGACCCCTCGGTGACCCCTCGGTGACCCCTCGGTGACCTTTGACCTCCCCAGGCCGCTCTCGGGGGTCTCCTCGGCGTCACCAGCGCCCGCCTGAGCTCCATGAAGACGCGGTGAGTGACAGCTCCGCCGGCCAATCACAGCCCGGGGCCCTCCCCTGCCACCGCCTCATTGGTTCTTCCCATGGGGTGGGCGGGGCTGAGCGCCGGCCAATTGGAACGTGGTGTGGGGGGGCGTGGTGGGGTCGTAGCCAATCAGAATTGTTCTCTGGATGTGAAAGAGCCAATCAGGAGGAGGAGGCATGGCTTTTTGAGCTGCCTCAATTATCTCATTTATAGTGGGTGTGGCTTTGCATAATTAATTAGGGTGGGTGGGGCTTTACATAATTAGGGTGCCTAATTTGCATAATTAACTAGGGTGAGTGTGGCTTTGTAATTGTGTGTGGCATGGTGGGCGTGGCTTCATCCAAACCAATCGGACTCCAGGATTGAGCCACGCCCTGCCACAGGATGTCCTTATATGAGAAAGGGGGCGGGGTTTGAACCTCCAGTGGAAAGTCCTGAATGGGGGGGCGTGGCTTCATCCCAGCCAATCAGAGTCAGGGTGTGAGCCACGCCCTGTGACAGGATGCCCTTATAAGGGAAAGGGGGCGGGGCTTGGAGTTCCATACAGCAGCCAATGGGGACGGGGGTGTGTCTGGGCATGGGGGGTGTGTCCCGGCTCAGCCAATGGCGTGCCAGGTTCGAGGGGCTGTGCCTGCACGCGGGGGCGTGTCCCAGGTGGGTGGGCGTGTCCCAGCTCAGCCAATGGCGTGCCAGGTTCGAGGGGCTGTGCCTGCACGGGGGGCGTGTCCCAGCTCGGTGGGCGTGTCCCAGGTGGGTGGGTGTGTCCCAGCTCAGCCAATGGCATTGCCAGGTTTGAGGGGCGTGTCCCAGGTGGGTGGGCGTGTCCCAGCTCAGCCAATGGCGTGCCAGGTTCGAGGGGCGGTGCCTGCACGGGGGGCGTGTCCCAGCTCGGTGGGCGTGTCCCAGGGGGGGGGGTGTGTCCCAGCTCAGCCAATGGCATTGCCAGGTTTGAGGGGCGTGTCCCAGGTGGGTGGGCGTGTCCCAGCTCAGCCAATGGCGTGCCAGGTTCGAGGGGCGGTGCCTGCACGGGGGGCGTGTCCCAGCTCGGTGGGCGTGTCCCAGGGGGGGGGGTGTGTCCCAGCTCAGCCAATGGCATTGCCAGGTTTGAGGGGCGTGTCCCAGGTGGGTGGGCGTGTCCCAGCTCAGCCAATGGCGTGCCAGGTTCGAGGGGCGGTGCCTGCACGGGGGGCGTGTCCCAGCTCGGTGGGCGTGTCCCAGGGGGGGGGGTGTGTCCCAGCTCAGCCAATGGCATTGCCAGGTTTGAGGGGCGTGTCCCAGGTGGGTGGGCGTGTCCCAGCTCAGCCAATGGCGTGCCAGGTTCGAGGGGCGGTGCCTGCACGGGGGGCGTGTCCCAGCTCGGTGGGCGTGTCCCAGGGGGGGGGGTGTGTCCCAGCTCAGCCAATGGCATTGCCAGGTTTGAGGGGCGTGTCCCAGGTGGGTGGGCGTGTCCCAGCTCAGCCAATGGCGTGCCAGGTTCGAGGGGCGGTGCCTGCACGGGGGGCGTGTCCCAGCTCGGTGGGCGTGTCCCAGGGGGGGGGGTGTGTCCCAGCTCAGCCAATGGCATTGCCAGGTTTGAGGGGCGTGTCCCAGGTGGGTGGGCGTGTCCCAGCTCAGCCAATGGCGTGCCAGGTTCGAGGGGCGGTGCCTGCACGGGGGGCGTGTCCCAGCTCGGTGGGCGTGTCCCAGGGGGGGGGGTGTGTCCCAGCTCAGCCAATGGCATTGCCAGGTTTGAGGGGCGTGTCCCAGGTGGGTGGGCGTGTCCCAGCTCAGCCAATGGCGTGCCAGGTTCGAGGGGCGGTGCCTGCACGGGGGGCGTGTCCCAGCTCGGTGGGCGTGTCCCAGGGGGGGGGGTGTGTCCCAGCTCAGCCAATGGCATTGCCAGGTTTGAGGGGCGTGTCCCAGGTGGGTGGGCGTGTCCCAGCTCAGCCAATGGCGTGCCAGGTTCGAGGGGCGGTGCCTGCACGGGGGGCGTGTCCCAGCTCGGTGGGCGTGTCCCAGGGGGGGGGGTGTGTCCCAGCTCAGCCAATGGCATTGCCAGGTTTGAGGGGCGTGTCCCAGGTGGGTGGGCGTGTCCCAGCTCAGCCAATGGCGTGCCAGGTTCGAGGGGCGGTGCCTGCACGGGGGGCGTGTCCCAGCTCGGTGGGCGTGTCCCAGGGGGGGGGGTGTGTCCCAGCTCAGCCAATGGCATTGCCAGGTTTGAGGGGCGTGTCCCAGGTGGGTGGGCGTGTCCCAGCTCAGCCAATGGCGTGCCAGGTTCGAGGGGCGGTGCCTGCACGGGGGGCGTGTCCCAGCTCGGTGGGCGTGTCCCAGGGGGGGGGGTGTGTCCCAGCTCAGCCAATGGCATTGCCAGGTTTGAGGGGCGTGTCCCAGGTGGGTGGGCGTGTCCCAGCTCAGCCAATGGCGTGCCAGGTTCGAGGGGCGGTGCCTGCACGGGGGGCGTGTCCCAGCTCGGTGGGCGTGTCCCAGGGGGGGGGGTGTGTCCCAGCTCAGCCAATGGCATTGCCAGGTTTGAGGGGCGTGTCCCAGGTGGGTGGGCGTGTCCCAGCTCAGCCAATGGCGTGCCAGGTTCGAGGGGCGGTGCCTGCACGGGGGGCGTGTCCCAGCTCGGTGGGCGTGTCCCAGGGGGGGGGGTGTGTCCCAGCTCAGCCAATGGCATTGCCAGGTTTGAGGGGCGTGTCCCAGGTGGGTGGGCGTGTCCCAGCTCAGCCAATGGCGTGCCAGGTTCGAGGGGCGGTGCCTGCACGGGGGGCGTGTCCCAGCTCGGTGGGCGTGTCCCAGGGGGGGGGGTGTGTCCCAGCTCAGCCAATGGCATTGCCAGGTTTGAGGGGCGTGTCCCAGGTGGGTGGGCGTGTCCCAGCTCAGCCAATGGCGTGCCAGGTTCGAGGGGCGGTGCCTGCACGGGGGGCGTGTCCCAGCTCGGTGGGCGTGTCCCAGGGGGGGGGGTGTGTCCCAGCTCAGCCAATGGCATTGCCAGGTTTGAGGGGCGTGTCCCAGGTGGGTGGGCGTGTCCCAGCTCAGCCAATGGCGTGCCAGGTTCGAGGGGCGGTGCCTGCACGGGGGGCGTGTCCCAGCTCGGTGGGCGTGTCCCAGGGGGGGGGGTGTGTCCCAGCTCAGCCAATGGCATTGCCAGGTTTGAGGGGCGTGTCCCAGGTGGGTGGGCGTGTCCCAGCTCAGCCAATGGCGTGCCAGGTTCGAGGGGCGGTGCCTGCACGGGGGGCGTGTCCCAGCTCGGTGGGCGTGTCCCAGGGGGGGGGGTGTGTCCCAGCTCAGCCAATGGCATTGCCAGGTTTGAGGGGCGTGTCCCAGGTGGGTGGGCGTGTCCCAGCTCAGCCAATGGCGTGCCAGGTTCGAGGGGCGGTGCCTGCACGGGGGGCGTGTCCCAGCTCGGTGGGCGTGTCCCAGGGGGGGGGGTGTGTCCCAGCTCAGCCAATGGCATTGCCAGGTTTGAGGGGCGTGTCCCAGGTGGGTGGGCGTGTCCCAGCTCAGCCAATGGCGTGCCAGGTTCGAGGGGCGGTGCCTGCACGGGGGGCGTGTCCCAGCTCGGTGGGCGTGTCCCAGGGGGGGGGGTGTGTCCCAGCTCAGCCAATGGCATTGCCAGGTTTGAGGGGCGTGTCCCAGGTGGGTGGGCGTGTCCCAGCTCAGCCAATGGCGTGCCAGGTTCGAGGGGCGGTGCCTGCACGGGGGGCGTGTCCCAGCTCGGTGGGCGTGTCCCAGGGGGGGGGGTGTGTCCCAGCTCAGCCAATGGCATTGCCAGGTTTGAGGGGCGTGTCCCAGGTGGGTGGGCGTGTCCCAGCTCAGCCAATGGCGTGCCAGGTTCGAGGGGCGGTGCCTGCACGGGGGGCGTGTCCCAGCTCGGTGGGCGTGTCCCAGGGGGGGGGGTGTGTCCCAGCTCAGCCAATGGCATTGCCAGGTTTGAGGGGCGTGTCCCAGGTGGGTGGGCGTGTCCCAGCTCAGCCAATGGCGTGCCAGGTTCGAGGGGCGGTGCCTGCACGGGGGGCGTGTCCCAGCTCGGTGGGCGTGTCCCAGGGGGGGGGGTGTGTCCCAGCTCAGCCAATGGCATTGCCAGGTTTGAGGGGCGTGTCCCAGGTGGGTGGGCGTGTCCCAGCTCAGCCAATGGCATGCCAGGTTCGAGGGGCGTGTCCCGGCTCGGTGGGCGTGTCCCAGCTCAGCCAATGGCATTGCCAGGTTTGAGGGGCGTGTCCCAGGTGGGTGGGCGTGTCCCAGCTCAGCCAATGGCGTTGCCAGGTTCGAGGGGCTGTGCCTGCTGTCCCTGCTGGTGAGCGAGAGCCCGACCGAGGCCTTCCAGCAGCACTGCCTGGGCTGGCTCCGCCTCCTGCAGCACCTGCTCCAGGTGAGGGCACCTGGGGGGACGTGGGGACACCTGGGGGGACATGGGGACACCTGGGGACACCTGGGGACACCTGGGGACACCTACGGGGACACCTGAGACACACCTGGGGACATCAAAACCTCACCTGGGGACAGCTGGGGACACCTGGGTAAATCTGGGGGGACATGGGGACACCTGGGTGGGGTCATAGACACACCTGGGGGCACCTCGGGACACCTGGGGACATTTGGGTGGGGTTAGAGACACACCTGGGCTCACCTGGAGACACCTGGGGGACACCTGGGGATACCTGGGGACACCTGAGAGGGGTCAGGGACACACCTGGGGACACCTGGGGACATCTGAGACACGCCTGGGGACACCTGGGCAGGGTTACAGACACACCTGGGGACACCTGGGGATATCTGGGGACACCTGGGAGGGTCCTGGGGACACCTGGGGGACATTTGGGGACACCTGGGGCTCTTCAGGGTGTTCCATTTTTGGCTGATTTTCCCCCATTTTTGGGGTTTTTTTGGGTCTATTTCAATCGGGACAATTTTGGGTGGGGGTCTCCAATTTGGGGAGGGGTCCTGATGAGTTTTGGGGTCCCCCCCAGTCCCAGGACCCCCTCCCACGGTGTCTTTGGGGGGTCCCACACCCAATTTTTGTGTGATTTTCCCCCATTTTTGGGTTTTTCTTCCGTATTTTTGGGTCTATTTCAATCGGGACAATTGTGGGTGGGGGTCTCCAATTTGGGGAGGGGTCCTGATGGATTTTGGGGTCCCCCCAGTCCCAGGACCCCCCTCCCACGGTGTCTTTGGGGGTCTCGGTGCTGCGGGAGCTGCTGCGATTCTCGGCTCAGCTGCCGGAGCTGGCTCGGGACATCGGCACCAACCACATCCCGGGGATCCTCACCTCCCTGCTGGCCCTCAGGCCCGAGGTGAAATGGGTCTGGGGGCTGAAATGGGTCTGGGGGCTTCGGGGGGGAGGGGTTTGGGGTAAAACACGGAAAAAACGGGGTTAAAATTGGAAAAAATGGGAAAAAACGGGGTTAAAACGGGATTAAAGTGTAAAGGAACGGGATTAAAATGGGAGGAGAAAGGGTTAAAAAGGGGTTGAAATGGGTCTGGGGGCTGAAATGGGTCTGGGGGCTTCGGGGGGGAGGGGTTTGGGGTAAAACACGGAAAAAACGGGGTTAAAATTGGAAAAAATGGGAAAAAACGGGGTTAAAACGGGATTAAAGTGTAAAGGAACGGGATTAAAATG